CAGGAGTCTCAGGAAAATCTCCTACTGGGGACCTCAGAGAGGCAGTTCTCTCCGGGGGGTGGGAAGGGGAGGTGGGGTGAAGGTACCTTCCTGCCCAGCCAGGGCAGGAAACAAGATACCTCCCTGGTTGACCCGACTAGCCGAAGCAGATCATTTTGAGGAATGGAGCCCAGGCCTCTGTCACTGGGGCCGCGTTTAACTGTCCAATTGTTTAATATATCCGTGTAAAAAGTCAGCGAATAGGTGCATTTAATACAAAGGATCTCTTTTAATGAGAACAAGTAAGGATGGGAGGGGATCCCTGGACGAGGAAGCTAAGCGGTAGCAGGCAGCTTTAGAGACATCGTTTCCAAAGCTGGGTTTTGTTATTCCCGCATATTGAGAGGGAACCCGACTTTCCTGTATGGTTTCGATGGAGGAAAGAAGTTGCCTGGGACCTGTTGGACCAGATGTGGGCCGCGCCGACCGGGGCGACGGCTCTTCGGGAATGAGCGAGCTAAGGACTTGGGCGCCTTCCCGGGCTGCGGCTTCTCAGACCCAGCCCCCCGCAGAGGCCGAGGCGGGGAGCGCAGAGTGCGCGCGCGGGAGCTAGGGGAGAGGGCCGGCGGTCCCGCGGCCGTAAACGCCCCGCGTCGGAAGGGGCGAGCAGCGGCCGCGCGGGGAGGAGCCGAGGCCAGACCCGAGGACCCGCCCGGAGCTGGACAAACGGCGCGGCGGGCGCGCCGGGGAGTCGGGGCGCTGGGGAGCGGGGGTGCTGGCGAGCGCTGTGCTGGGAAGAGTGCGCCGTCGGGCTTACTGGAAACGCGCCGGATCAAGTTCCAGATCAATGAAATCTAGGTCCACACGTTTACGTTATTGTTGCCAGCATTAATGCTCTTTTAATCTTCTAAACATTATCAGCATCGATCTCCCTCCATATACACATTTGTTTGAGAAAGTGACATAACCACACGGTGGAAAGCCTGGAATAAAAATAAATGCGCAGCCTCTCGGGTTGAGGGCGTCCTTTGGTCCCGGGTCCTTCCAGCGCTCGGCTTCAGTACTTCGCTGGGTCCCGCCTCCTCGGCCCGCCCACTCTAATGTGCGGGAGGAAGATGCTCTCCAGACACCCGGCCCTTCACCAAGCAAGGCCAGTAGCGAGCTTTTCAATTATTTATCTGACTAGTCAGCGGGCGAAAAATGTGTGTTTTGTACCGACGCGGGTTCCGTTTGGCCTCTTAGCCTCGTTTCTCTAGCTAACTGCCGGGAGAAATGGGCTGAGCTGGGCCCAGATCAGGACCAGCGGGAGGAGAGGTAGAGTGGGGTGCTCTGCGAATGAGGCCCCTGCCCCTCCTCTTAGGGGATGTGGGTGCTAGTGTAGCCAACAAGACACCGCGGGCACGTGGTGGCCTGAACTGGGGCCGCTTCGGCACTACCCCGGCCTGCTCTGCGGGCGTCAGGTGGCCCAGGCGACATCTTGGCGGGTTAGTTAAGGGCCCTTGGCTGCCTGAACAGAGTTGACTCCAGACTGGCTGCTGGGAGTTGCTGCCTTTAGACGGCTGAGCATCTGTCCGTTTCGGGAACGGGAGGCAGGTTTGGGGTAGGCAGCCCTGGCAGGGTATGTCGTCCGGGCGGCTCCACTTTGTCTCCCAGGAGTTGGAAGAAATCACTCCTGTTACCGAGGCCTCAATTTTCCTCAGCTGGGTGTCCATCCAGGTTCTTGCCCGGGTCTCTGTCTCTCCTTGCTCGCGTTTGTGCTTTGTTCAGAGGCTTCTTGGGCTACCAGCTGGAGAGTGTGCTCGAATGCTCAGGAGCCTGTCCTTTCTTCGTCTTTCAGGGTTCATAAAAATTGCCGTTGGTGAGCCAGCCTTGGGGACCGCCGAAGACACCCGACTGGGCAAGGCTGCAACCACTTGCTGCCCTCACCACCCTTTCTGAATGAAATCGTGCACTTGGACTCAATCCATTTCTCTGAAATCTAATGGGGCAATCTGAGTTTCCCCGACGTATTCTCACTTCCCCTTTGAAATGCCACCCTGGTTGCTGGTAAGAGAGCCGAGCTGCGTGGATGGGAGAGATGAAGGGCCTGCTTCTGTTTTAACGTGTGCACTTCACCTATGGGTGAGGTTTGTAGGTGCAGGCTCAAATCAGACATCTTAATTCTGACATCCCCTCCCACCCTTGTCTGCCTGGGCCTCTGACAAGACCCAGAGGGGTCCAAACTGAGAAAGAGAAAGGGAAACTAAGTGTAGATTAATAGAGAAAGAGAAAAGAGGCTTGGTTATGAGAGATGGGTGGGGCTGGAAGTCAGGCCCAGATACCCAGCAGAGCCACAGGACTGAATGGTGTGGGTTCTCGGGGACATCCCAGTGAGGATTCAGATTGATACTTCTGGCAGAGAAAGTCTCTGCTTTTCTTCTCCATTTGTTCCTGCTCCCTAGTGCTCCTGAGCACATAATGCCTACTTACCAGTCTCAGCTTCTGCGTCAGTGTCTGAAGAGACTGATCTACTGACCCCAAACTGAAAAGCCTCCTATGTAATAATAACCACTCAACACACTTGTAGTTGCTGATAAAATGGCCAGATAAAAAGGCTAAAGCTCTTGTCCCTTTTCAACTCAGGGTAATAAAACAGACACATTTGAATGCTTGAGCAAAGTGGGGTCCTCAGCAGGAATTTCCCACTTGCTGAAGGCAGCTTGCAGTCTCCCGCAGAGGCAGCTTCAGCTCTCCTCCTTCGAAAGGCCTCTGTGCTCCCAGAGGTCAGCCTCTGAGGATTCACTCTGGGTGAGTGGTGGGACCCCTGGGTGCCACGCTCTTTCTCATCCCACCAATGCTTTGGGGCTACTGTAAAAGCTGAGACGCGCTAACAGGTAAAGCATCACTCGCCACATCACTTTAAGACACACATAGGCAGAAGGCACGGTTTTTTAAAAAAGCTCTGTCCTTTGCATGACAGGCGTGAGGGGGCGGCAGCGCTCTGAGATGGGCCGGAGTAGAATAGCTGTTATCCTGCCTTTAACAGTACCCCCCATCCCCCAACCCCCAAAGAATAACTGCCAAGTTTCTTCTGGCTGCCTGTGCCCTGGAAGCCCGGGTTTACTAGAGCTCATCAGAGAGGGACTGGAGGCGCTTTTGGGGACCTAAGACAAAGGGGTACCACACTGTGGAATTGTCATTAAGCCTCCAGTTTACTTCTCTCTGCTACTCTCTCTTCTCTGGAACCAAGAGCGAGTCAGGGAAAATTGTAAGAGAGGATGAAGAGTAAGCTAAAGGAGAAAGATAAAGTAGGTTTTTAAATCCACCCCAAAGTATTTGGAATCCACCAATTTGGGAAAGCTCTTCAGGGAAAGCTAATTTTCTCTACTTTTTCGTATCAACTCTGAGGGGCGATTAATGACTGGAGATCTGAATCCTTCAACAGGAAACACCCCTTCCCCAAGCCTGGGTGAGCACGCTGCCTGCATCCCCCAGCCCCGTCCGGCGTCTGCAGAGTGCACCGCATAAGCCAGGCTCAGCGGTGCAAGGGTAGCCCCGAGAGCGGGAAGAGGAAGCCTGAGCTCGCCGCTCCGGAAGAACGTCGTGCGCAGCCTGCTCGGAACCGCGCCAACCACACACAACGCGGTTTCCACTCTCCGCGCCTATGTAAACCACTGCCACCACGAAAGGTCCCCCAAATGGCCGGTCTATTCTGAGAGATCACCCCATTCCAGGAGAAGGCCCCCTTCCGGGCTTGCAGTACGGTACTGTGTGCTCTTCCCAGTAGGGCTCCTGGACACTCTGCCCCTCTGGGCCCGCAGCTAGGTCCGGGAGACAGCACAACTGCCACGCGCTGCGCGCGAGGTCTGTGCACACAAAAGCTCGCAACTGCTCGGCACTCGCAGCCACTGCTACGTCTTTGCTCTCGCCGCCCACACAGGAGGTATCTGTCCTCCTAGAACAATAGAGGGCTGTACCTCACAGCTCGGCCGCTAGAGGAGGCACAAAGAGCTAACGCGGCTCCAGAACAATGTAACCGCCGCGTCGACTCGTCCCCTCCCGCGGGCCGCCGGCCCTCCCCGCCGCGCGCTACGCGTACTGTGTCCGCTTAATGCAAAGGCGGAGCCAGTAGCCCGCGGCCAAGATGCATTAACTAACCTGCATCTTAATTTCCCAGCACCTCTTCCCGCGAGCGCCTAACCGGTCTCTGAGCCCTACGAATTCGCTAGTAAATGCCAGCAAACGCTGGGAGCCGGGCAAGGGTGGCCGGTGAGTGAAGCAGGGATCTCTCCATTTTTAGTTTTTTCTACCCCCATCCTCCCAGAAGTGAATGTGGCAGTCTCGCAATCTTAGGCCTTGCACACTCCTTCAGCTGTAGGCAGTGACACGGCTGCTGGCCCAAGCCAGCTCTCAGAAAGTCTCCGCGCTAACGCCGAGGCCGTAGATGGGCTCGAGAATCGTGGTTGAATCCTGGCTGCCCATTATCGCGCGGGCAAGACTGACTCCTACCAATAACCAAAGAAGTTTGCCTGATACGGCGGGTGGAAGTAGAACAGAGATCTTTTTCCCTTCTGAAGAGCAAAGTCCAAGTGCCTCTATATAGGGAGACTAGGCAGCCTGAAAAACTGAAAATGTATTGTATAAACAAGAGTTCAAGTGCAGAAGGTTTTGAATAAGGGCAATCGCCCGTCCCCGTGAGTCCTGGAAAGAGAGGGCTCTTAGCAGACACCCTGCACACCCATCCCGCCTCCCACAACTAGGGAAGTCAGGAAGAGAGGGCGAAGTTGGCAAATGAAACGTGTGGTGAGATCGGGCAATGAAGGCTCAGGCACGAGGAGGGAGAAAGAAAAGTAAGGGAAAAGGGGATGATAACAGAAGAGAACAGAAAGAGCAAATAGAAGGAGAAATAAAGTCGAGAAGAAATAAGTGTGTAGGGGAGAGGGGCAGAGAACCGAGAGAAGTGACTGCATGCTGACCCAGGGCCACACGCACTCTGGAGCCTCTTCCCAGCAGCTCGGCTCCGGGCGACCCTCTGGGCTTACCTGCCAGGCGTAAGGCGGACATGCGCTGGAACTCCGGCTCTTGAAGCCACTTCCACATCCTGCGGAATGTCTCCCTGCCAGATTTGAGTTTACTCCACGGTTTTGGGTTCCGGAGCAGGTCGGAGAGAGTCCCCTGAGACCGGCACAGCACTCTCTGCGCGAAGATCGCCTGTGGGATGCTATAGCGCTTCAGCTCGGCGGTGATGCGCTGAGCCACCTCTTTGGTGTTGATCTCCTCCAGCTGGCCCGATGTGGCCACCTGCGAGCCAGAGGAGGACGAGGGTGGTCTCTCGCGGCTGGGCGCAAGCACTGGCCCGTGGGACTGAGCGTGGCCCGGGTGGTGCAGGCCGTTGAGGTGCGACATCATGGCCGCGGGCGGGGTACCCAGGCCGCGGGACAGGTGTTGCTCGCCGCGGGTCAGCATGGCAGTGTGGTGCGCGTCGAAGTTGGGGCTGAGCATTTTGTCGTGGCCCGGCGGCCCGTAGTTGGGCAAGCTCTGCTGCGCGTTGTGGAGGCCACCCAGCCCGTTGCCCAGCGGCGTGGCTGCCAGCGGGGACAGGCTCTGGCTCATGCCCGGCATCTCCTTGTAGGGGCTGTAGAGGTTGTTCATGGCTGGGATCCCGCGCTCGTCGCGCATGAGGGTGAAGCTGCCGCTGACATTGCCCGACAGGCGCTGGTGGTGGTGGTGGTGGTGGTGGTGCGGGTGGTGGTGTGGGTGCGGGTGGTGGAACTTGTCCGACACGGTGGAGATGGGAGGCAGCGGCTGGAGCGGCGTCAGCGTGGTGTAGGTGTTGCTCATGCCCATGCCGGGCGGGGACGAGTCGCAGGACATGCTCATGGCGTGATGGAGCGGGATAGAGAGCTCGGGCCGGTAGTCGCCGCCGTCCAGGATCGAGGCCATGCTAGTGACCATGGCCGAGCGCGACGCCGCCGCCGCCGCCGCCGCTGCCGCCGTGCCCAGCTCCTGGTGAGCCGTTGGCGGAGGCGGAGGCGGGCCCCGCAGCGAGCCAGCCGCGCCGCGGCCCGCGTGGTGGGGGCTGGGGCTGGCCAGCAGCTCCTGCTCAGGGCCCGGGCCCCCGCCGCCGCCCCCGCCGCCGCCCCCGCCGCTGCCGCCGCCGGCCGGCCCGTGCAAAGTGCCCAGACTTTCCATTGTCAGCTCCGGGTTCATGGCGCAGCCTTCTAGGTCTTTGGTGAGGCATCGATAGGCGGTGTAGGCAGCCTTCATTCAGTCCATCGGGGCCCGGAGGCAGCGGGGGCGGCGGGGGCGGCCGGCGGGCTGGCAAGGCGCGCGTGGCGGAGCTCGACCGTGGGAGCCGGCGAGGCGCGGGAGTGCGTGAGTGTGTGGAGCGGAGCGTGCGTGCGGGTGTGCGCCCTGGGCTGCGGGCGCGCCCAGGGTGGGGGCGGGGTGGGGCGGACGGGGTGTGCGTACGGGAGAGGGGAGGGGACGGGGGGAGGGAGGGATCACCGGGCCCCGCCGCTCTGGCCGGCGCGCTGCCTCGCCATGTCCGAGCCCTCTCCGGCGCCGACGTCTTCTGTTTGGGTGAGCGGGAGCTGTCCAGAAGGGCTCTGCCGCTTACCGGGGCAGCCAACCTATCCTCCCGGGCCCGGGGCGGGGCAGCGTCCGATGGGCGCCACAGATAGCCACTCCTAGGCCGCGGCTGCTCCGGGGGGCGGGCCTTCTGTGCACAACTGCCAATGGCTGGGGAGGGGGCGGGGACGCGCGTTTCATGTTTGGCTGACGGCA